GGCCTGCAGGTGAGGCGGCGTGTAAACGGAGGCGGCTGAAGTCCGTGCTGCCGTCAGAGCAGCGCGTGCCTTAGCCTGGTTGCCAAGAGCGTGGTAAACACGCGACTCAAGTAGCTGTACTTCCACCAGCATAAGCTTATCATCCAGGCGCTTCAGCTCACGGAGAAGAGAGTTGATAAGAGTGAGAGCATCGTAATAGGATTGCTTCTGCATATAGATGGCAACGAGTCGGGCTTGGAGGGCCTGTCGAAGGAACGATCGGCGCTCGGCAATAGCCCATTCTATGCATGATTGGATGACGTTGCCTTGGAGTTCGAGTGTGTTGGGGATTTCGCTAATCAAGTCTAGAAGTTGACGGACTAAACAATCAAAGTTAGCCAGTTTCTATAAACGTCATTTAGTGCGCAACTTACCCAGCTTGGCTGTTTTCGCTTTGGCAAATGACGAGAAGGTGTCGCGGCTGGTCTTGATGAGGTCCGCAATCTCCTGTGGCTTCTTCGCATCCCGGTGCAACTCGCTCAGGCCAATCAAGGCATGTTCATAGTCTCGTGAAGAGGCCTCTGTAGATCCGGGGCCCTCTGAGAGGATCTTCTGGTAACTGGTCGCTGCTTTCGAGGGATCCTCCTTCACCAGATCTCGGACTTCTTGGATCCGCGGCGAGACCTTGGATGACATGATAAATGGCGATAAATGGCGAGCGAGTGAGATGAGGAATTAAAGGAAAGGAGAACAATAGAAGATGGTGGTTTGAAGAGAGGTTGATGATTAGGTCGGATGGGGAGCTCGAAGCTGGCGGCAGCTCACCGTCCTCTCACCGCCCGCTTGGCAAATCAAACAAGAAAAAAAGTTCCATCTTGGCATTTTTCTTTTCATTTTTACGTCGTTTCCACAACAGCACAATGGTGAGTGTTTTTTCTTGAAATCTTGTTTTTTTGGATAGCCATGCTAATTACCTATAGAAAATCAAAGCACTTTCCCGCTCCACGGCATCGCAGCAGGCCCCCGGGTCCGCTGTCGTTCGCCAGTCGCGGAATCTCGACCCAACTCAGCATCCTTTTGAGCGGGCTCGTGAATACACTCGAGCTCTGAATGCGATCAAGATGGAACGCATGTTCGCTGCTCCCTTCCTAGCGCAGATGGGTAATGGACACGTTGACGGTGTTTACTCTATGGCAAAGGATCCCGGCTCGCTTGAACGTTTTGCAAGTGGCAGTGGTGATGGTGTGGTGAAGGTGTGGGATCTGACGACGCAGGGCGAAGTTTGGAATACCCAAGGACATGAGAATATGGTCAAGGGTCTGTGCTGGACGCCGGAGCGAAAGCTTCTGTCATGCGCGAGTGACAAGACCATTAAATTGTGGGATCCTTACAATTCATCATCGGAGGCCCCACCGATGGCAACCTATCTCGGAAATAGTGCCTTCACCAGTGTTACGCATCACCGAACCCTCCCATCCTTTGCTGCCGCTTCTGGTGTCATTTCTATCTATGACCTTTCCCGGCCTTCCTCCACACCATCGCAAACTCTGCACTGGCCGACCAGCGTTGACACCATCACATCTGTTGCGTTCAACCAGACTGAGACTTCTATCCTGGCTTCGACCGCCATGGACCGCTCAGTCATCATGTACGACCTGCGTACTTCCCAGCCGGTCCACAAGACGACATTGAGACTAGCATCTAACGCCATTACGTGGAACCCTATGGAAGCGTTCAACTTTGCCGTGGCAAACGAGGATCACAACGCGTATATCTTCGATATGAGAAAGATGGACCGTGCTCTCAATGTCCTGAAGGACCATGTGGCTGCTGTTATGGATGTTGATTTCAGCCCCACGGGTGAAGAGCTTGTCACTGCCTCATACGATCGGACAATTCGCCTATGGAACCGATCAACTGGACACTCGCGTGATATCTACCACACAAAGCGGATGCAGCGTGTTTTCTCAGCGACATTCACGCCTGACAACAAGTATGTCTTGACAGGATCGGACGATGGCAATGTTCGTCTCTGGCGTGCCAAGGCATCGGACCGCAGTGGAGTCAAGACTGCCCGCCAACGTTCCAAGCTGGAGTACGATCAAGCTTTGATCAAGCGGTACTCACACATGCCCCAAATTCGTCGCATCAAACGCCAGCGTCATGTGCCCAAGCCTATCAAGAAGGCTGGGGAAATCAAGCGCGAGGAACTCAATGCTATTAAGAGGCGTGAGGAGAATGTGCGCAAGCATACTAAGAAGAGCAACCTGGCACCGAGAACTCATGAGCGCGAGAAGATGATTCTGGCCAGCGAGCAATAAATCAGTCGGTCTGGTTTACCACTTTTCATTGGCAGGACTTGCAATCGAAAGTATGGTCGAATGGGAATATGTTCAATGAAGCAAATCGCTCTGCTTTATAATACATCTTGGTTGGACTCATACAAGTGTCCTTTTTCATGATTCATGCCAATACACACCGCTCAGCTCTATTCGAGCCACCTATCAATCTGTCTTCCCAGATGTCTGCCGGCTTTGCGTCACGGCAGCATCTATTCCACTCAGATATCTCGCAACCAGCTGCACCGTAGCGGGTAGCACGGCATACCAATTCACGAGCTTTGCATAAATAGGCAGTCTGATCACACCACCTCGACCGCTATCAATTGCTGCTACCATATCCCGGGCAACTTCGACCGGTTCCAAGACTGGCGCAAAGAAATGGTTCGGCGCACGCACCCAGTCGAACAATGGCGTCGACATCTGCCCAACTTCTACCAGCAATGTCTTGATCAACGGGTTCCCTCGAATTTCCGCTTCTATTGTCCGATGCAGCGCGCTAAGTCCAGCCTTGCTTGCTGCATAGTCTGATAGTCCCGCAGCACTCAGCTGGCCTAGCACGGAGCTGACTGTGACAAGCGTTCCTCCACTCTCCGCTGCGATGATCCCAGGCAAGAAGACTTGGTACAGATGGAAAGCCGCCAGCAGGTTAGTGCGAATGGTCTTTTCGAATGCGTCCGCTGAAAGATCAAGCAGGGATAGGCCGTTGATCCTGGCCGCGGCACAGTTGATAACGATCGTCGGTGTTCCTAGCTGCAAAATAGTTAGCGAATCAGACCCCAATTGAAGCAAGCCATAGCGCGCTATAAAAAAAAACACACGAATTGTCCAACATTTAAATCACCCGAACCGTAGTAATAGTAGAATGATATGGGATCTAAAGTTATGCAACGAAACCAAAAGCGGAAAAAGCAAAACCTACCACTTGCAGAATCCTCTTCCTCGCAAGCTCCAAGGCGCGTCTGTCCGCGACGTCACACGTAATATACAACACGCCCTCTCCAAAGACCTCATCCCGGCTATTTTCCGGAACAACCTTGATATCCAGCACAGCGATACTCGCCCCGCGCATGCTATACATCTGCGCAATCAACAGACCCAGGCCACTCGCCCCACCGGTGATGACCACGACCTCATGCTCGAAATCGACTGTGCGCGGGGCGCCGTGGGCGGCGCGCTGGTTGATGAACCGCGCGATGAAGAGGACTGTCAGGGCCGTTGCATAGCCCACGGAGATAATCCAGGCTGGGTCTGTTGATGGTGTTACCTGTGCGCGCAGACAGAGAACGAAAATCCAGGCTATGAAGGGGTTGAGGAGGGATTTGGAGAGGATGCTTATCAGTGTGTCGATTGTCAGGAGGTTGGTGTGTGGATTAGCTGGACTAGGGGTTGAGTGAGGTGTTTTGGCTGTTGTTTTTAGGAACTGGGGCGCTGAGGATGACATTGGAATGTCTGCTTTGGGTTTGATTCTGACACCTGGAGATTGGAGGTCAAAGATGGTGCAAGTGAGAACGGGAGATTCAAGACGCGTTTGGTTTTGCGGGGCTGATAAGGCGATCTATAAAATGGTAGCAACAATACCTCAACTAGTTACAACTACATACAACTACATATGTAGCAGTATCTACTGGATTTTAGGATGCTTAGATTTCGAATTGGGATGATTTATTTCGTGCTCACTGAATACGTTTAATCACATCGGTGATAATCGATGGTGCTACTCCCCTCCCCCGCTAAAATTATGGGATAAGAGAGGATCGTCAGCGACCCAAACGATGTAAGCAAAGATGGAAAATTGACTTGATATCGAACGCAGCTCTGGCCTAAATCATAGCCCCCTTAAGTTGTTTAGGGAATTACCGCTCTAACAGTATATATATCAAGTTAGAGTGTTGTATTCTAGTTGAATGGCTGGATGGAGGACTTCAGTTACCCCGTACCATTGCTAAATACATGATTGTGCGTTCCAACTTGAAGGTTGAAGGTTCTGATCCCTGAATAGCGCTCTAGATAAATGCTTGTGGATCCCGACTTTCTTTTTATAGCTCTCTGTGGGTCAGCTGTGAGTTGCGGCCTGATAGTTGCTTGCTACCAGGGATCTCGTCTAAGAAAACCGTCATTGATGACCGGATGACCGAGGTAGATACACGCCGTCATATCAATATCTCCATTTAAGAGCGAAAAGCTCGGTGTATTCGTATTCGTCTATGTGAGGCATCTGAGTGATTGGACAGTCATATTGCGAACAGCACCCTAAGCACTCACCAGCGATCTTAAGATATTGATCAGCTACTGATCTGGTTTATATATTTCCAGGCTAAGGTCACACATGAGAGAAAATAGCGGTCAGCAATGTCTGTTCCTTGGTGTGGGTCTTGCTGCACCTTCGTACAGTTGTAGGACGTTTTTACTATAAAATCTTGGTCAAGTCGTGGCAGCTAGAGTGGTGCCCCTAGACCATTCTTCATTGCTAGCTTGTAGGTATGGTGTATATACAGAAGCATATATTACCTAGGAACAATTTGATCTTAAAGTCTTTCAACAGTCTCTGATGTCAGTAATACTATATTGTGTTTGCACCGTGTCACGGGAAGGGTGCTAATAAGTACCAATCATTCTTATTCCATTTTAGATCGGTAGAGAGTTTGAATTAACTTGCTGCAGTTACTACTGCCGAGTGACTTATTGGCCCAGTGAAGCCAGATAATCCGCCACCCTTTCAACAGCTCCCTGAGCACCGCGCGCCTGTTGCGCCCCATGATATTGGGCTATAACGATCGACTGTTTCGATTTCATACAAACAATCTCATCTCTGTCCTGATTATGGATATGTCATTATTGGAGTTATAAAAGGGACCTAGAGATATAGCATTCTTACCTTGTCCTCAGCCTGAAAGTACCGCTCATCACCCCTCAGGTAGAAATACTTCTTGCCTCCTGCAACAATACTTTTGGCAGAGGCATCGCTGGGGTATTTTAAAATATCTGATAGGCCCTTCACTTCCTCATCCTTGAGCTTTGAAATGTAAGTCACACGGCCTCGAGTTCGGGATCACCAGTCATAGGTAAACATACAAAACCTTCTGTAGTAGCAAAAACACCACCACTTATACCTATAATTGCAGCCTTTGCGACCCCATCTGAGCCTGCCACACTACAAGGAAAGAGTTAGTAAAGCCTCGGCTACCAAATCATAAGTATGTATTCAGATTCAATTCAGATTCAGTTCAGATTCAGTTAGTAAGATAGTAAGAAGTCAAGAGTCAAGACTTAAGACTTAGGAGTGAGTATAAAGAGCCCGGTGTTAAAAAATTAATATCGTATTTGTTAAACAATCTCCTATATATATATATATATATATATGTTTGCCCTATTTGTTCGTTATTTACTATTTGTTAGCTTTGTTTACTATAATCGAGCAGAGTTTAGATGGTTTTAGCAGGGTATATAACCCCCTACATTTCTAGTTTAATCAATTAATATTTCTTCCTCTGCTTTCTCCCCATATACGTCGGAGACCTTGGCCTATGGGCCAATTTCAAGTCCGACGTATCACAAACGTTCAACACCACACAATGGAGCCAATTACCGATACTACCACTTCTATCGAACAATCCACTTATGAACGAGCATAGCCACTACGGCGACGAGCACAGTATACAGGCTCGAATTTACTCCAGGGTTAGGAACAGTTTAAGCTTAGTTGCTCAATATCAAGGCTTAGATTTCTCGTTTAGGGACTTCAAATGCGTACTAATAGCCTATATAAAGATACTAGACTTTATCTTCTAGAGACCCTTAATCTATTGCTCTAGTCATAGGAGAGGTCAAAGCCCCCTAGATTATTAGGCGGTATAATCTAGCTAGAGACGTGATAGACGCCTTATCTATCTTAAGTAATACTCTTCGTGATTACCTCGGTAAGTAATCAATTAAATATCCGTAGCTAGGCTTATAAGCTTAGTTATAGACACTCTAGGCTAGATTGCTGAGTATATATACGACCTTGGGCTTAAGTACGGCGTCCTTACCACGCACAATCAGACGATCTTTCTCCACCAAGTTATATATAACATAAGATAGAAGTTAGAATTTTCGCCGGTGATCCATAACACTAATATGTTTCAACCCCCTTCATCGGTTACCTTACAAATATGCTATTTCCATATGAGCCAGTACAAGAACCGATTTTTCCTTTCTCCTTTAACCTTCATCATGACTCAAACCTAACTTGATTCATATGTGACCGATGCACTCGCTGTAGCATTAGGTCATTCCAGGGAAGGTCTTATGTTTCAATATATGAAAAACGGTGATGTCAAGACATATCTTCAGGCCCACGACTCGATATCAACGAGCCTCAAATTGAAGTGGGCATACCAAGTTGCAGAGGCTGTCGACCTCTTGCACAGGAACGGGATTATCCATTGCGATATCAAACCACGAAATTTGCTGTTAGATACGACTTTCGACATCAAAATTATTGACTTCTCTGGCTCTTCACTAGATGGTTCAAAACCGGCCTCTGGTGAAGGAACACGGTTTTTTCTTCCACGGCATTAGAGAGATCAACCGACGGTTGCCACAGATCTTTTTGCACTAGGGTCGACTCTATACGAGATTTTTCAAGGCACCAGCCCATATGAGGAGATTCCTAGTGATCAGGTTGAAAAACTTTTTACTCAGGAGTTCCCTGGTGTATCTAATATATACTATGTGGACAAATCATCAAGCAATGTTGGCTATCTCAAGTTGATTCAGCGGCGGATGTGCAAACTGCCGTCCAGGCTATTATCTCTCGTAAAGTCAACATAGATTGTGTCCGTCATCTCGATGGGTTGGACTCAGGATATGTTGATTGACCCATTTCTTTATCCTTACGATTGGGGCAGTCCACGCCGCTCTGTCTTGCCTCGATATATCTGTGCAGACTTCTCGAAGGTTTGTCGCCTATTGACGGGCAGCCACGATAATGTGTTGTGGATACAAGGATTTCGCACATACTAAAGAACTTGGGCCGTCAGTCGTCGGAAATGTTCTCAATACACAAGATAATTAATACCTTTGGGTGCTCTTGCAGGTCACTGGACAAAAAGGCGAAGGCGGCGATGGACAATTTATGCAAACACAAAATGAGGCGAGAGATGTAGAGCCAGAAAGGATCTGAACCACTGGGTATTGTTTCTAGCACAGAATCACAACCTATCAAATTTGGGATATATAGAGCAGCTGATATTGTCTAGTCTTTTGCTACATCTCATCTTGCCTACTCACAGTTCCAACCCCTATCGGTCATATCCAAAATAGTAGCCCCTAGATACACTCTCACAGTTACATATGGCGGAACTCTGTGAGCTGCTGTTATCGGGTATCATTTAGTTGAACCATGTGTCTGAAAATCATTAGAAAATTGTCGGATAGCTACTCTGTCTGGATTCACTTACTGTGATTGTCGTACGGCCACATTTGAATACTAGTTGAACCCAGTAAATGCATAGGGGTTAATTGGCTGATCCATTGATGAAACGAAATTCCAGCAGTTTCAGCATCAAAAACAGCCTTGCTGCTAGGTCCAATCGAGTCATCTGTGCTTTGAATGGAGATCTCATGGCTGCGGTCGGCGATCTTTGCCATGGAGAATCTCTGTAGCGCTAGATTTTCTCCAAAGAAATTCCAAACCGACTTCCAAAGAACATTCTCATGATCCACGGAGGGTAGGTAGGGGGTTGAAGGGATGTAAGTTTGTCCGGGTGGTAGTTGTCCGGCTGGTTGAGTATGATACGGAGTTGAGGTTGGAGTGTAGGCTGAGGTTGGAGTGTAGGCTGTTGAAATTGTAGGGTAGGCTGCTGAGGTTGGATTGTAGTATCCTGAGGTCGGGATGTAGGCTGTTGGAGTTGGAGTATAGGCTGTTGGAATCGGAGTATGGGTTGTTAAGATTGGATCATAGATATCTGTGATTGTAGAAATAGGGACTGGAGGTGAACGCAGCCAGGATGGAGTTATAGAATACCAAATTGATGAATAACCCGGCAACAATGATGGTGAGGTATCCTCTATGATCACCTCGAAAATCGTGAAAATAACGAGGGTTTCCTTGGCTTTGAGGAGCAATGATTTCAAATGCTTAGAGTTGATGCAAGTCTTATGGAGATGGAGCTCTTTGAGCCGATTGAATTCGATTTCGCTAGAAAGCTCTCTAAGGGAATAGTCTTGCGAGAGAGCAAGTCTTTCTAGGCGGGGAGCAACATGGATAAGCAGAGTGATCCAGGTCGTTGCACTCGTGATATAAGCTGGCTTTGTGGTTCTGAAAGCTAGGCAAACGTGGAGGTCCTCTAAATCAGCTAGAACGGATTGGACAGAGCTGTATTGCTCTTCTGTGAGGAGAATTTCGGGGGCAATGTCACCACAGCAATCAGGATTACATGTCTGTAACTTCCTGATTTTCAAATTGGTTCCACTGAGCGCCTGTAGAAGCCTTGACGCGGCTAAAGAGTTAACCTTGTCCATTACGCTTCTGCTACCACGAAGCGGCTCGAGGTTCTTACTCCCGAATCGGAACTCGATTTGATCAATGAGGCGGCGCCAGCCAAGGGATCGGACTTTTTCTTGTCGTGGGTCGAGCAAAAAGCTCGTCGTGTAATGTGCAAGTCCAACTGTGTTAAGGTTGTCGAACCTTTCCAAGCATTTGCGTAGTCGAGTGCTAAAGGCGTCCGATTCTAGAAGACTAGAACTGTCTTTAACCAAGGCTTTATATGTTGAAAAACGAGCCTTTAGTTCGTCATTAGATACCGGGCGACAACTCCTCGATGACACGGCAAATTCGGAAATAGAACTTTCACTTTCTGCATGGGAGCCATCAAACACAGATGGAATCATCCACAACTCTTGAACTCGTTCCCGAATACCATCTGTTTCGGCGAGTGCTTCTAGTTCTCTAAGGCTATCGCTTGTCGCAATGAAGCAAATTCTCTTGAGATATTGAATGACAAATCCTTCGAGGGATATTCTGTAAAGTGCGCGACATGACAATCTAAGCGCTCGCCATTCAGAGAGCTGTAGAAAGCTACAGACCGTCGACATAACTTCAACTGGCAGGGATGTGATCGACATTTTAACAGGAATCCTTGCCTGGGTACAAGAATGTAGGAGCGGTGAAGTGACGAATCAGAAATTGATGATTGTGATGATTGTGATGATGTACAAGAATTCATATAAAAGGAGAGAAAGTTGGAAGAGAAAAAGAGGTAAATATGCCCATTCGTACGGGACTGGACTAACACTAGTGCTGTTTCATATTACCCAAATAGGAAATTTAATTAGGTCCGAGGTCCGGTACTAAGGCCTTATTTAGTAGACAATTCATGTATCTCACTTTACCCAATAATGCTTCCTAACTGGGACGGGAGAAAGAATAAGAAGAAGAAGAAGAAGAAGAAGAAGAGAGAGAGAGAAATGGGGGAGGGGAGTGTTTATACTTTCCCAGTGGCTGAAGGCAAACGGGGAAACTGCGGTGGGCGACGAGTTTTGACCCAAAAGGGAAGGCACCTAATTGGGATGGCACCTGGGGTACCATTTCTCTCAACTGGTTATTTACTGATTCTCTAGACCAGTCCACCCAAGTCAAGACAAGGTAAGACAACCCCTAATATGAAAGAGGCGAGAGAAGATCAGAATAGAAAAAAAATGGTGGAGAAAGACTGATCGATTAAGTTATCGTCAAGTGTCTATATCATTTGCATGCGAAAATATGAAGAAACAAAACCACACCATAAGGACAAATAAAATCAGAAATCCATGAAACCCATTGAATCATCTCAATCACTCTTTCCCCCTTAGCTTGCGAAGAAGTGAACAAAAAACCAGCGTAAATCCACACGAAAAACTCCCCATGATTGTCTCAGACAGTGCATCCCCCCATATTTAAACAAGAACAAGATTGCAAATCAATTACCACTGCTTGCGCTAACCCAGCGGCGAATAGGGCTTCTTATTCCGAGCCTCCTAACCTGACCCTCGGATAGAATGACTGAAGGTAAGACAATTCTTATCCTCGGCCATGATGTTGAGATCACTTGGGGTCGACCGCACGTGGAAACCCTGACCAGCTTCGGGGTAAGAGCGGTAATCTTCAGGGTCATAATCCGATTCATGCTGGGACCCAACGTGTGAAGACTGAGCCACAGATGGAGTGGGAGATTGCAGTCGTGATTGGGAGTAGGATGATTCGTCGTCGGTGATCAGGTCAGAGTTCGAGGAGTCGAAAGAGGCCTTGCGAGCATGTGTAGCTGCAGGCGCAGCTTGAAATGTACTTCTGCGCGTGGGTCTAGAAGGATTCTGCGGAGTTGTCGTGGTGGGAGGCTGGGGTGCAGTTGTGGAAGTATGCGCATGAGAAATGTTGGTGAAAACATGGTCCGCAGTGATGCCACCAAGAGCCGCTGGAGGAGCAGGGTTCGGGGCAGCATCGGAGACCGCTTCAACAAAGAGTTTATCAGTATCCAGGGCAGTAGCTTCAAGGGCTGTGGTATCGGGGCCCTTTGAATCCATGGCGTTAGGGTTCTCAGGCGAGGGGTTCAAATTTTCCCAATCGACTATTGCAGAACGAGGGGTTTTGTTTGGTGTAGGATTGTAAGCCCGATGGTTGTGCGGAGTTGCAAATGGCGAGGGAGTGAAATCAGACACGGGTTGCATGTTGGTGGGAAACATAGGAACCGACGGCCACTCGTTTGAGACTTTCACTACAAGCTGAACTAGGGAATCATGCGAGAGAGATGACAGATACGCCCGTCGTTCTTCTTCTGAATAAAGATTTCCACCCATTTGAGATTCAGACACAGGCTGCTTCTTCGGGCGTCCAACTTTTTTCACTTTCGTTACAGCCTTCTTTTGAGCCATCTGACGTTGCTCAGGTTTACACTTGATGCAAAACCAATTCATCTCCGAGATTTCGATAACCTCATTTCCGATATTTGGCTTGTGACATATCTGATGCCACGGAGCATCACATGTGTCACATAGAACAATCAAATTGTTCGAGGGGCTGTGTCCTCGGTAACAGCCAGTGCAAACTATATTCACCTGGCGGTTCAGACGCTTCCGCTTCTTTGCTGCCGTTTTGACAGGCGGCTCTTTCGTTGCCACAAGCTCAACTTCTCGAGTGGCCGGCTGAGTGATACGGCGGCCAGATCGAGTTCGATTTGAAGCCAGGGCAGTGCTGGCATTTTGATGGCCCGTTTCCGTAGCCCGGGCTGTTTCCCAAACTGCCTCTTCCTGAGGCAGTGCTGGTGATTCCCAGCTTCCCCAAGGTATATTGTCATCCACAAGCTCCAGGTGGGATTCCAAAGGTGGAATCCCCTCGGAGCCACCCTCATGGTCAAATATATTGCCCTCATGGACATTCCGGGGGCGCCCCGGGTTGATATCGGGGGCGGGGAGGTCTATAAATGCCGCTGAGACCCTCATGCTGAATTTGCTTGTGAATAAGTGCTTCAAAGGGAGGCTTGGGCAAGATTCTTCTGGAGAACTAGTTGGGCTTTGGTGTCAAAGAAGAGAACAAAGCAACGGATGATAGCGAGGGAAAAATGCTCTAATTGTGTTCTTCTAGGGCAGTGCGAGTCTTCCAACCTGGTACAGATCACAATAGACACTAGGCTTTTTGCTGAGTGGCCAGTCAAACATAGTTGGCTCCTCTTGATTCGTTAACTGAAAGTAGGGTTGAAGTGAAGTCGTCGAATGAAAGACCTTTGTATATATGGGTCACGTGATGTCCCGATGCAACCTTATATGGCTTTCTTCAGTCGTTGACTGACGTATTTAGCCTATTTGGAGGTTCTTTTAAAAATGAATTGTAAATTTGATGGTTTTATCCATTATCAAATCTGTTTTGTTTTACTTCCTATGCGGATCTGGTACACAATTGTCTTGTGCTCAATCAAGTCACCTCATAGTACCGCCTCGGCATTAGACCTACGTGTAAGTGAGATATAACATATTCTATGAAAACTATAGTACTCTAATTGTCTATCTCTAGAGAAATGTGTGAACTAATTCCAAGCATTTTAGGAACATATGTCACTGAAATTTCTAAGGTTTGAACTATTCTAATGTGTATGGATCCAGTGGCAGTGTATATTAGATCTGAATACATATCTAAATTGGCTCGAGCTATTATATACAAGACGATTGATGTAGAGGGAAAATAAGAATTCTTGTATGAAGTAGCATTCACCATACCACCACTTTTATATACGTTGTGGGCCGAAAGTTTCCTTCCGGGCAGAGAGCTGATGGTATGTAAGAAAGATGCCTGAAAAGCATCAAAAGATGACAGAAGAACCGAGAAACCACTATAAATGGCTGTGGGTTATAGTTTACTTATATACAGACCTCGGAAGGTGTCTTTCGTGTTTCTCATAAATGATTCAAGTTCAGGACACGACTCCCTCATCCTTCAAGCGAGCGATATCCACTTCCCCATAATCGAGGACACTACCCAAGATCTCGTCCGTGTGCTGGCCCAAAGTAGGAGGAGGCGTGCGCACACCCGGTGTCGCTTCGGAGTACTTGATAGGCGTGTTGACCATCTTGATTGGACCACATGCAGGGTGATCAACTTCCGTCACCATGTCTCGTGCCAGGACTGTTGTTAGGGTCAGCACCGCTCTTTTATCACATGTAAACAAAATAGGTAGACCTACCATGCTTGTGATTCAGGGTTCCCTGAATGTCGTTGACAGCCGCATAGGGCATACCGCTGCCCTCGAAAACATCCAACCACTCTTGCGTGGTCTTTTGCATAGTGGTGCTTTCAATCATACCGTCGATCTCTGCCCGGTGCTGCACTCGGTCACTGTTAGTGACGAAGCGAGCGTCCGTCTTCCACTCAGAGAAGCCCAGTCGATCACACAACACGCCAAAAAGCTTATCATTGCCACCGCCAAAGAGAATATCTCCGTCGCTGGTTTTGTAGCTCCGGTAGGGTACAATAGATGCTGGGAGGTGTCAGTACGGTTATTACTCGACAAATGAGACTGTTCGCTGCTTACGGTGTGCTGTGCCCCAACGACCGGAATCCTTTTGTCCACTGATAAGCGCAGAGCTAGCCAGGTTCGATAACGTAGCGACCTGGCAATCACTCAAGCAAGCATCGATATGCTGACCTCTACCAGTTCGACCACGAGCAATCAAAGCCGCCATGATGGCATTTGATGTGTATAGTCCGGTGGTTAGATCGGTAACGGCAACACCAACCTTTACTGGTGCACCGCCCCGAGCACCTGTGATGTGCATTAATCCCATCTCAGCTTCCACCATGACATCGTAGCCTGCACGGTTGCTATATGGTCCTGTCTGGCCATACCCAGTAATACTGGCATAGATCAACTTGGGGTTGATTTCCCGCAGGGTTTCATAGTCCATGCCGTACTTTTTGAGTCCCCCGGGGAGATAGTTCTCGACTAGGACATCGCATTCCTTTGCAAGCTTGTGTAAAATCTCGACGCCTGACTTGTGTTGGAAGGATAGACCAAGGGATTTCTTATTTCGGTTGACCTATATCCATATTAGTGCCATGATCATTTGTTTCATAACTTCAAAAGAAAGTTCGCACAGCTAGGTAGTAGGCGCTTTCGCCAGGGCCCTTTCTGGAAGCGTCTTCGTACTTCGCATATGGTGGACCCCAAGCGCGAGTATCGTCGCCGCGCACAGGGTGTTCGACCTTGATAACGTCTGCTCTATTTCATTTTGTTAACATCACAGATATCAGCTGCTGAAGCTGTTTCATAGCCCCGAAGTTCAATACATACCCTAAATCACCAAGAATTTGAGTACAATAAGGCTAGAGCAAGTCAGCTTGGATCGTAAACATACAGTAGCACCGCGAGAGAAGTACTAACACCAGCCAAAACGCGTGTCATATCAAGCACTCGGATACCAGCCAAAGGTAATGACCCATCGACTGAAGCTGCGCTGGAGTAGCCTCGTCCTGGTATCGTGCGCCGCAAGGCATTGCTACCCCAGGACAAGCCCGATCGACGGGCAACAACCTGGAACCTGAGCGCGACCATGATTTATATATATGGAGAGCGCAGCAAAAAAACAAAACAATGAAGCTCAAATCAAATGCCCAAATAGTAAGAATATCCCCCATTAAATGGGATCTGGGGAAACCGGCGAATCTCCGCCAAAACGCCGACGCCGACACCGCTCGGAGGGGCCAATGCCGAGGCCACACCGCGGGGGTATTTTCCTTGTAGATCATCAACCGCAGCTATGTTTACAGGTCTTGTTGAGACGATTGGGAGTGAGTATATCGTTACTTTTGTGAATTATATCAATAGCTAATGTGGTTATACTAGCTGTCACGGCCTTGGAGCCCATCGATACCTCATCGAGTGGGGGGGGGCGGGGAACGTCGCTCACCATCTCCGACTGTGAGGAGATCCTCACCGACGCACACCTGGGCGATAGTATCGCAGTGAATGGTATTTTGCTCTTTATTTGTCTATAATACGAGGGATATTGTCTAAAAGTGGGCTCAAGGAACATGTCTTACGGTCACTGCATTCGATAAGACCTGGTTCAAGGTTGGCTGTGCGCCGGAGACGCTGCGACGCACCAACCTGGGTTCCTTGCAGGCGAATTCACACGTGAACCTCGAGCGTGCCGTTTCAGCCGATACTCGGATGGGAGGACACTTCGTGCAAGGCCATGTCGATACCGTTGCGGAGATTTTGTCTGTCACGCCGGATGGGAACTCGTTGGTGTTCCGGCTGCAGCCGCGGGATAGAGATATTCTGCGGTATGTTGTGGAAAAGGGCTACGTGACCCTTGATGGTGCTAGCTTGACTGTCACCAAAGTTGTCGATGGGCAGGACGGATACTGGGAGGTTATGCTTATTGCCTACACACAGGAGAAGGTGGTTACTGCGGCCAAAAAGCCGGGTGATCTCGTCAACGTTGAGATCGATATCGTGGGCAAGTACGTTGAGAAGAGCGTGCAGGGATACTTTGCTGGTACCTCCGGCGGAGATTTCGCCATCTTGGAGAAGATGGTGAACAGGATCGTCGATGAAAGGCTCAAGAAATAGATCAGAGTTATGAATAACGAATCTGCGCCACACCAGGTCATTGTAATATTGAGGCAAGCCAAATGTATCATCTCGTCAAGCTATGAAAAATCCTTCTGTTGTTGTAGTCTGCGTCCCCATAATCCAGACTGGATATTATCATCCTTCCCACATAGCTCCTCTCCACAACATACACATGTAGTTTACATAGGGATGATCGCACGTGTAGTGAAACCTAAGTCTAATATAAGATGAAGGATGAATTTGATTTGCAAGACTGCATTATATGAAGACAAAACCTGAAAAACGCCTAGATGCCTATCGGGTATGTGACAGTGACAGAAATTTTGGTCCATATGACATGGATATAAGACATGAAGACTGGGGTCATTTTTGATACAGTCCACCAGTGTGATGGACAAGTCGGCACGAGTTGAATTCTCGAGTTTGTTCGATCGTAAGAGCCGGCTCGTTCATCAAGCGATCAAGTAGAAGGTTTCAGAAAGGTGTGGTGTAGTGACTTCGGACAGTCACTTACTCCTCCATAGACTCGTCCGAATCGGCATCAGAATCATCATCTGCCGCTTCACCCTCACCCTCAGCGTCCTTGTCAAAGTCATCATCGCTGAGCCAATCTTCATCATCCATGTCAACATCCTCATCCTCATCATCCTCGGCCACTTCTTTGCCACCTCTAGCCTTGACCTTCTCTTGCTTCTTCCGCTCAATGTTCTCCTTCTGCAGCTTCTTTCTCTGCTCCTTCTCCTTCCTCCGAACGTCCCAGCTCTGGTCCATTTTCCGCATCTCCTTCTCAGATTTCTTAATGAAGTCGTGCCACATGATCTTGCCATCGCAGACTCCATCCTCAACCTTCATCAAGCGAAGCCGCAGGCGAGGACCAAGCTCTACGAGCTTTACGGCTCGCTTCTCAACACCAGGGGTATGGGTTGGCTTATCCTGGCCCTTTTCTGCGGCCTTTTGGCGCTGCATTTCCCGCTTGTTCAGGACTCGGCGGGTTGTGCTCTCTGCAACTTCCACTTCGGCATCGGTGTCTAGCTCGGTCTCACTGGCTGATGTGTAGCCTGCAGCAGAGGGGTCGAGTAGGTAATCGGCGGCATCTTCTAGCTTTCCAAGGTTGGGAACAGCAGTCTTCTTCTTGTCCCGGTTCCGAATCTCTTTGGGATCCAGGCGACGGATTCGTTTCGATACACCGGTCTTCTTTGTGGCAATGGCATAGTGACGGAGAGTCAAGATATATGAGTCGCTGTCCTTTTCGACAGGCTCCCGGTTGAGAAGCATGACACGACGGATGGAAGATAGAGGCTGGCTTTGAGGGTTGATGGGAGGGAAGAGGGATTGGAAGATCGTAGTTGTGAGAGTCTCGAGACGCTTGGGCACTTTGGAATCTTCGGTTGCGCCTGGTGTGGTGAAGTTGTTCATGACCAAGAGGGGCGGTGTCTTGTGGTCCTGTCCGCCACTTTTTGGGCGCTTCATGGACCTCTCAACATCCTTGCACAGCGAATAGTTCTCGACTTTGAAGTGAAGGGTGGGTCCACGGGGAGTAACGGCGAGTCGCATATTTGTGTTGCCAGTTGCGGACTTGGAAAACAACATAAGATGAGTGACACCTAGGGGACCGGTCATAACAGTATAATCTCGCAGCCTGTTGGATTTGCGTTCCTATATTACTTATTAGAGAGGGAGAGAGAGGGAGCAGAATATTCAAGTGTGAATCATACCTTCAATCGCACAGCAGTATCAGGCTCCATCATGCGACGGACATCCTTAACCAACTGGGTCACACTGCTACCGACTTGAGAAGCGCCTACTCGAATGACCATAGACTTCGGGGTCTTGGACATTGAGGCAGCGCTGCCCTTCACAACGGAAGCATTTTGGGGCTTCTGGTGAGTGCGCTTCTTGACACGTTGCTTGACCATTTTGATATGAGAGATGAAAGAAATAAAATTGGAGGGGGAAAAGCAATGAATACTAAATCGAACAGCTCGAGGTTTTTTTTTTTCTCCAAAAATTAACAGAAACAGTGCCGGATCAATAATCATGCGGCCCCACATTAAATTATTTCTTTTGAGGTAGTTGAACATCGACAACTCGGGTTTTTGTTTAAAACAACACACCAAACAATGCCGATTACCAAAAAGCGCAAGGTTGAACACGCGGCTCCTGCTGCTCCTGTTGCTCCTGTTGAAGACAGCGACGTTGCATCAAATGCAAGCTCTTCCAATCCTCAAGCCACTGCTGAGGACTCCGATGTCGAAGATAGCGCGAGCGATTCAAACCCCCAACCTACCGCCGATGACCCCAATGACGAAGATGCTTCCTCCGAGACTGAGCCCAGCGCTCCCAGCGTTCCCAAAACATTCAAAGAATTGGGCCTGATTGACTCACTCTGCGAGGCCTGTGACAAGATGGGATACAAGGCCCCGACACCAATCCAGTCCGAATCAATCCCACTCGCAATTCAGGGTCGTGATATTATCGGATTGGCGGAAACAGGATCTGGAAAGACCGCCGCCTTCGTTTTACCAATTCTTCAAGGTTTGTGCATATGACGACTTATACCATCATATACGATACTAACGAGCCTTCTAGCACTCATGGAAAAGCCCCAGCCGTTCTTTGGGCTTGTAATGGCCCCAACCCGTGAACTAGCATACCAGATTTCATTGGCATGCGAATCCCTTGGTGCAACAATCAATGTCAGATCAACCACGTTGGTCGGCGGTATGGACATGGTTCCTCAGTCAATCGCTTTGGGAAAGAAACCTCACATCATCGTTGCCACGCCCGGCAGACTTCTCGACCACCTCGAGAACACAAAGGGCTTTTCCCTCCGCAACTTGAAATTCCTCGTCATGGATGAAGCAGACAGACTCCTCGATATGGATTTCGGCCCCATCCTCGACAAGATCCTGAAGGTCCTACCACGCGAGCGCAGAACCTTCTTATTCTCCGCCACTCTGAGCTCAAAAGTTGAGTCTCTCCAGCGAGCCTCACTGTCAAATCCGGCCCGCGTATCGATCTCTTCCAGCAAGTACGCCACCGTGGAAACCCTCCAGCAAACCTATATCCTTCGTCCCTATAAACACAAGGACATCTACCTTGTCTACCTCCTCCACGAGTTCATTGGCCAGTCCGTTATTATCTTCATGCGCACCGTTCATGAAACGCAGCGTGTTGCTTTCTTGCTGCGCGGTCTAGGCTTCGGCGCAATTCCCCTCCATGGGCAGATGTCTCAGTCTGCTCGTCTGGGAGCACTAGGAAAATTCCGATCCAAAAGTCGCGAGATCCTAGTTGCCACCGATGTTGCAGCTCGTGGTTTGGATATCCCCTCGGTGGACTGCGTTTTGAACTTTGACTTGCCAACCGACAGTAAGACCTATATCCATCGAGTAGGCCGTACAGCACGTGCCGGAAAGTCTGGAACTGCCATCTCCTTTGTCACGCAATATGATGTGGAAATCTGGCAGCGTATAGAAGCTGCGATGGGCAAAGAGTTGGCCGAGTACCCCGCTCCAAAGGATGAGGCTATGGTATTTGCCGAGCAAGTGAGTGCTTCGCAGCGTGATGCCATCCAGGCGATGAAGCACTACGACGAAAAGAAGGGGGCCAAAGGCAAAGGAAAGTTCTCGTTCAAGGGCAAGCGAAGTCGTGATGCCATGGACCAGGAAGAGGGCTAGAATCTCATGCTGGTTCATTATCTTATTTTTTTTGTACATGAATAGATGGTCTAGCTTACGAATTTGGGGCGTTTAAGTATGTAATATGAAAAGAACCCATAGCTTTCATTACTGCGTCAAAATGATATCGAATATTTCCTGGTCCATATTTCCGGGGTCCATAAGAGTTGAAAAAAATACCCCCTGCCTAAAGCCACCAAGGCCAGTGTGATAATTGCAATACAGCCTAGAAAACAGTGGTCCCTGGGGGCATTTGCCAAGGCTGAAGATCCAATTTGGACTAGAGAATCTATTAGGCGCTGCCTGCCTCACTAACAGCGTTGGCGACGCGAGTGGCGAGGTCGTCCGCCTCGGAGCGGCTGGCAGCCTCAGCATACACGCGGACGGCATCCTCAGTACCACTGGCACGCGCGAAACTGCGGCCCTTGTTGTACCGAGACTGGAGAGACTCGATAGTGCCCTGCAGGTCGGGAGGAGACTCGAGCTTACGCTCGGCGTCGTATGCCTTGAAAATGGAACGGTCGTTGACCTCGACACGCACGAGGCGCGAAGGAAGGTCGGTGTAGGTTCCAAGCCACTCCTTGGGTGACCAGCCCTTGTGGGCAAGGATGGCCTCCACAAGAAGTGAATCGGACAGGGCATCACCGACAGCCTGGTTGATCAGGTCGGTGAGAGCTTGGAGGCTCTCCAGGGCGTGCTGCTGCGCCGGCGATTGAGGCTCGGTGTTCTTGATGATCTTCAAGGCGTTCTCGGAGAAGGTGACGGTACCGTGTCCGTTGGCCTCGAAGTAGACGCCAACATCGAACCGCAGTGCAGCATGGTGGAGGTGCTTCACGCCGGTGTTGGTGCAGATAATGGGGAGCTTGAGGACCTTCTCAATGTAATCTGTGCTTGCACCGTTAGCATAGGCAGTCTGGACAACACCAATCTTCAGCTTCGAAGAAATTCCAGCATTGCGGGCAAGATCGCCAATGAAAGACGCCGCAAGAGTGGCAATGCGGTCACCGTCCAGAAGACGGAATACGTTGCTCTCGTCCTGGAAGTAGTAAACAAGACGATCGGCGTCACCGTCAAGCGAAGCGCACCGATCAAGTACGGCAGCTTTAGAAGAAGGAGGAGCACGTTGCTTGGTCTTAACATAGTCGGCACCGCACTGCATGAAATGTTAGGTTAATTGAAGGTTGTGTGTTGGGCGGGTGAAAGCATACATCAAAGTTTAGGGAGTCAGGGTTGATCACATCATCGTTGACAATCTTAATATCGATTCCAGTGAGGTACTTCATCAGCTCCCTCAATTTAGGCCCACCAACACCGTTGGCG